CCATCTCTATGGAGAGGGCCCATCACAGTTGTCCTGCTTTGGGTGGGAATGTCTTTTGTGTCACTCAGTCACCGCATGGGGGCTCTGGGGCTGTGAGGCTGCGCTCTGCAGCTGAGGCAGACCTCACAGGTGCTGACAGGTGGAGGCTGTCTGCTGACCACGCTCCCCCTGTAAAGGGAGGTTTAGCTATTGCATCTCAATGCCCAAACCACAGATGTTCATTCTGTACATATATCTTTGCTCATAGCCTTAGGGTAAGTTCCCAGAAGTGAGATTGCTGCAATAGAGCATGGGCTTTTAAAACCTTTTTTTTTGTTCTTAAATATATTTTTATTGATTTCACAGAGGAAGGGAGAGGTAGAGAGAGATAGAAACATCAATGGTGAGAGAGAATCATTGATTGGCTGCCTCCTGCATGACCCCCACGGGCGCTTTAAAAAACTTTTAATATGTATTGCCAAATTACCTTAGAGAAAGATTGTAATGCTCAGCCGGCGTGGCGTGGTTCAGTGGTTGAGTGTTGACCCATGAACCCAGGAGGTTCCATCCCTAGTCAGGGCACAGGCCTGGGTTGCTGGCTCGACTCCTAGTAGTGGCCGTGCGGGAGGCAGCTGATCAATGATTCTGTCTCATCATTGATGTTTCTATCTCTCTCTCCCTCTCCTTTCTTCTCTCTGAAATATATATATATATATGTGTGTGTGTGTGTGTGTGTGTGTGTGTGTGTGTGTGTATATACATATTTAAAGATTGTACCACTTTCTCCCACCAACAGCTCATTTCATCACTTATGAATAAGAACATGACAACTGTACTGTTTTTATTTTTATTTTTTTCAATCTTTCTTTATTGATTAAGGTATTACATATGTGACCTCATATGTACTGTTTTTAAATGTTGAAAAATACCTTACATTTCTTTGGAAAATAAATGATATTCATCATGTTTCATTATTGTGAATTTTATTTTAAACTTCCAAGGCAGGTTACCTTTCTCTATAGGTCTCTATATACAAGTTTCCAGAAGGATAAAACACTCTAATGATTGATGCTAGGAGGCAAAGAATTGACTTGAAACAGAATCTGCAGTGCCTTGCAGCTCTTTCCATGTGAGTATCTGAGAAAACAAAAGAAATTCCCATTTATTAGGAAAAAATCCATATTTGACACATTACTATGAGAGAGAGAGAGAGAGAGAGAGAGAGAGAGAGAGAGAGAGAGAGAGAGACACTAATGGGAAATAACCATCATTTCTTGAGAGTCTATTCCATAGCAGCAATTCCCTGAGCTTTTACATATACCGTGATATTTAATTCTCATAAGAACCCTTTGAAGTAGATATTATTTCCCACATTTTTCAGATGAGGAAACTAAAGCTCAGAGAGTCTGGAAACTTATTAACCTTAGTCAGTCAGACTCCCAAGCCCAGGCACTTCCTGTGGTTCTGGGTTGCTGTCCCCAAAGCTATCAATCAAGTCACAGAGCAGCAGCTTTAAACAGTGTAATATACCTGTAGAGTAGCTGTCATAACGACACTCATGAAGATTGAGGAATGTCTGTCTTCCTACTAGACTGGAAGTACATGAAGTTCAGTGTCTAAATTTTTAAAAAAATTTTTATATCACTTATGACATCTAGCCCTTTACATACATAAAGTGGTCACTAAATAGATTCAACAGAATAGATGTTGAATAGCCAGAAAGAGAAAAATATTTTCTGTTATCCTTTATCCTTTCATTCTCATTTTTGGTTTGGTCTGATCACAGTATAGCCAGGAGGCAAAGAGATGGCCCAGTCAATGGCCTCCCACTTCAGCAAGAACAATTCTCAGCTCTGCTAAAAAAAATCCATTGATTACAGAGTGCCAATGAAAAAATGGTTGAACAAAATAAACAAAAATAAACCTACAAATAAAAATCATTCTCAAGAAGTCACCCCAGCCCTAACTGGTTTGGCTCAGTGGACAGAGTGTCAGTCTGTCCCAGGTTCGATTCCGGGCAAGGGCATGTACCTTGATTGCGGGCACATCCCCAGTAGCGGGTGTGCAGGAGGCAGCTGATTGATGTTTTCCTCTCATCGATGTTTCTAACTCTCTATCCCTCTCCCTTCCTCTCTGTAAAATATCAATGAAATATATTAAAAAAAAATAAAATTAACCCAGAATTTATGTAACTTATTAAAAAAAAAAGTCACCCCAAACAGGAACAATGTGGGTGAAATCTTTATTCAGAAGAGTAAATAGGTTGTAATCCAGCCTTTAGAGCAGTGGTTCTCAACTCTCCTAATGCCGCGACCCTTTAATACAGTTCCTCATGTTGTGGTGACCCCAATTTCATTGTTACAAATTGAACATAATTAAAGCATAGTGATTAATCACAAAACAATATGTAATTATATATGTGTTTTCTGATGGTCTTAGGTGACCCCTGTGAAAGGGTCGTTCGACCCCCAAAGGGGTCGCGACCCACAAGTTGAGAACCGCTGCTTTAGAGCTAACTTCCAGGTAACAGGAAATACAGAGGAAATAGAATTATGTTGAAGGCACCACAAAGACACCATAACATAAATCCAGAAGGCTACCTCTGTTTCTTTTATGACAACATCATTCTAAAAATAGATGGCAGGGAGATGGGGGAGGCTAGTCTGGGTTAAAAAAAGATGTAAACAAATGCAATGTGTGGTCATTGTTTGGAGCCTGGTCTGAGGTAGTCAGCTGTTAAAGACATAGTGGGATCAGCAGGGGGAATTTGAGTCTGGATTGGCTATAAATTGTAAAACCGAGGGTCCGTATGAGTTTGATTAACTTTAAATCCTAACGCTAGAAATCATCTCTCTGTCTCCCTTTCTCTTTCCTCTCCTTCCCCTTCTTCAGAGACCTAGCCTTCCCCCAGATAATCAGCGACCCTCCAGGCAGAAGACAGCAGCTGGGACCCGACTAAAGGTCCAAAGGTCTGGACCTCTGCCAGGCTAAAGGTAACATCTTTAGGTTTCACTTCCTAAGCTGGAACGACCACCCTGCCTACTTTCCCATGAGACCTGACAGGGACACTGGAAACAGACCTCAGAGCTGTCCTCCAGACCTGAAGAAATAATTCATTACCTTTACCTCACCTCACACCAATCAGCTCCCCACTCAATGGAACCCCCACAACCCATGGTGTGTTGTGGTTTTGCCCTATATAATCTGTAACCTACACTCCATCCGGCTTTTGAGCATTAGCTTCCCTAACAAAATAGCCAACAGTGCCTGACTGGTGTGGCTAAGTGGTTGAGCACAGACCCATGAACCAAGAGGTTGCTGGTTTGATTTCAGTCAGGGTACATGCCCAGGTTTTGGGCTCGATCCCCAGTAGGGGGCTGGCAGGAAGTAGCTGATCCATGTTTCTACCTCTCTCTCCCCTCCTCTCTCTCTAAAAATCAATAAAAGCATATTTTTAAAAAAGGTAACATTTCTTCACTTCAATTCTTAGTGTCTAGTGTTTGGCTCAGCTAGTAGGTGGACACTTTCCGTTCTATAACAATTGATACTAGGTAATTATTTTTAGCTTTAGTTAATTGTGAAAATGGTAATATGGTTATGTAGAAAGTGTTCTTTTAAAATTGAGATGTATATTGAGGAGTGAAATATCACAATATCTTTGCTTTAAAACTTCAGCAGAGCCAAACCGGTTTGGCTCAGTGGATGGAGCGAGGGCCTGCGGACTGAAGGGTCCCAGGTTCGATTCCGGTCAAGGGCATGTACCTGGGTTGCGGGCACATCCCCAGTGGGGGGCGTGCAGGAGGCGGCTGATCGATGTTTCTCTCTCATCGATGTTTCTAAGTATCTCTCTCCCTTCCTCTCTGTAAAAAATCAATAAAATATATTTTAAAAAAAACTTCAGCAGAAAAGGTGATGAATAAGGCAAAGTGTAAACAATCGTTAAATATTTGAGGTCGTATTTCATCATAAAGAGTAAATAGTCAACCAGGAGAAAGAAAAAGGGTTTAAAAGAGGAAGAATCCATTCTTACATTCCTCCAAGGTTGCTGCCATTACCCTTTGGTTGCTGCCATTACCGGGTTTCAGCAGCATCTGAGTGCGGTCCCACGGGAGTCAAGACAGGTGAGCAGGCTCCTTTAGGATCGGATTTGTGTGTGAAAAGAACCCAAGCGAGCCAACCCTCCAGCACTGTGCACCTACCCAGGGACGCTGGGGATACGTCAGCTCATGGCCCCTGAGTGTACCCAAACCACCACGCGTAGACGGACGGACGCTCAGGGTGAGGGCGGTCCTAGGATCCGAACCGGGAGGAGAGGGCAAGGGGCGGGAGAAAAGCCGGATCCCCCCACTCCAACCCGCTGCGCGCGGGCAGGTACCCCCCTCACCCACCTGGAAGCAGGGCGGAGCGCGCTAGGCTGGGGGAAATGGGCGGCGTGCGCCCAGGCCACTACCCTCACCTGCCGCCAGGAGGGCCTGGGAAGCTGGGGTGGGGACCACCGCGCACCTGGCCGCGGGGCCGCAGCCGTGACCGCGGGCTCGGCTGGAGCGGGAGCCGCGCGCCGCGGGTCAGGCCGCAGGTGCGGGCGGCGGGCTGGGCGGGGTCGCGCTGCCCGCGGGGGAAGTTTCTTGGCCGGGAAAGGTGCAATTGTGTGCAGCTATTCCTGGTATTCAGGCGGCCTCGAGCCGCGGGGGCGCCGTTTCCAGCGGCCCCGGGAGAGGGAAGGCGGCCGGGCGGGCGGAGGCGGGAGGGATGCGGGCGCGGGGGCGCATCCCCTCGGGGTGGAGCTGCGGTCCAGGCGGGCAGCGCGAGCGGGAGCTTGGCCCGGACCCGGGTCCCTGGCTGCCCGTGGCATCCCCGGGCCCAGACAGGCTGACCACAAAGGCAGTGGCGGCCGGGGAGCCCGGGGGAGCCGCAGGGGGGCGGGCGGAAGCGGAGACTGGGCGGCCCGGGGTGGGCTGGGGCGGGGCCATTGGGGAGGGCAGTGGCGCCCAGCGACTTGCAGCGACTTTTGAAGTCCGAACAGTTGTCGGAGCCGCGCGCCGCCACGGGTCGCCCTCCCCGCTGCTTGTGTCCCGGCGGAACCGGGGTAGTTTTCCAGAGTCCGGAGAGAGCCACGTCTTCAAGTTCTTGTAGGTTCGAGACCTTACCGATCTGCGGAGCGCAACAAAGGGAGGGAGGACCCGAGCGCCTCGCAGCCGGAGCCGCGGCTGGGGGGGCGGCCGAGACCGCGAGCGACCCCGGCCCCTCCCCGCGCCCACGCGCCTCTCTCCCCCTGTCGCCCCGGTCCTGGCAGCGATGCAGGAGGACGAGGCCGGCTGCGCCGTGGCGTTCGCCGAAGCCCAGAGATGGGTGGAGGTGAGTGCCTTTACTCCCGTCCCGGGGCCAGGGCGCTTCAGCCTCTTCCCGGGACCTTCCCGGGCGCTTGGCTGCGGGCTGGTTTGCGCATGCAGCTGGGGGACTTTGGAAGTTCTGCTTCTCCGATTCTTTAACGTCCAGCGAAGCTTAACTCTGCCCTCCCCCGCGACGGTCTCGCCGAGGTGCCCAGAGCTCCTCTGCCAGGGCACGTCCCGGCGCCGACCCACCCGGGTGCCGGGACTGCGCATCCCTGTGGACCAGCCCAGGAAGGCTCCGGGCCCCCGGGGTGTCTCCCTGAGGGACGGAGCCGGCCCCGGGTCCTGCGGTGCTTTTCTGTGGAAGATGTGGAGGTGCCCGACGCACGCTTGCACGGCGCGTGTGTTGGGTGGGAGGGCTGGTGGGGGAGTGTAGCTCTGGGGCGGTGCGTTCTCTGAGGAATCCAGAGCCCTGGGGACGGGGATGGGCGTGGGGGTGGGGGGTGGGGGGTGGAGGTGGGGTGGGTGAAAGTCAGGGCTTGTATTTATTCAGAGTCTGCATTGATGAGATGAGCTATCCTGGGGTTCCTCACTAAAGGGTTGTTACTTTCCCAGCTGTGCCCCAGAGGCAAGATCTTCCATCCCCTTCTCTCCCATTAAAAAAAGAAGACGGCCTTTTAGAGGCTTCTTCATCAACATCTTAGGGTTAACATGTGTTGAAGGTTAACTCCAGGCTTCTGGCCATTATTCTGGATGAAAAAGGTGACTTTCTAAATGACGCTAAAGAAGTCTTCCCAGTAGACGTGAATCAAGAACAATTGCAATCGTTGCCTGCACCTGCCTTGAAGTCATTGAGGAGTTATTGATGTCAGGTGTTAGCTTATTCTTAGTTCAAATTTAATACATATTCAGTTCATTTATATTTCAATGTCTTAAAGTATTTAAAAATGAAAATTAGGTTTAAAGATTATGCTATGGAAAATACCATATTCAAGAATTCCAAAGCAAAGGGCTGAAAAATAATTCATTTATCCTTAAATAAATATACTTACGTTGAAAAAATAAAGAAAATAACTTTCAACATTAGACTTTTTACTCTAAATAAAGGAATGTGAAATGTGAGTAGCATTATCCATTAGACAGTAGGGGAAGTCTAAGAAATTAACTTTTGGTGTCTTTTCTGGACTGAAACTTTGAGCATCTGAAGGTGACTTAGAAAGATGTGAAGGGGGGGGGGGGGTGTATGAGGAGGTTGGGAGGAGAATAAACACGGTATTTTGAATTGAATTGAGAGTGGAAAAATTCCAGTAATGTAGTTAAGAGAAGTAACTTACCTCATTCATCAACTTGGAAAAGTCAGGGCTACTAAAGGTAATTTCCCATTAGTAGTGTTTGTGTTGCATAATTTTAGAAGAGAAATTAAATGCCCCTTTTTGTATTTGAGTGTTGGGGATGGAGGGAGGGAGAAGGGAAGACATATGGGGACATTTTTTTGGTCACACATGGCTCTCGTGTGGAGTTTGTATCTGCATGTTGTGTATTTGCTTCAGGAAATCTGTGGCTATGCATGATTTCACACATTTTCTTTTTAGTATGCATACTTTTGAAATCTGGAAATTCCTGGTTTATTGTAGCTTGCTCATAATTGTGTAGGACTTCTGTGAGAAAGTTATGTTTAAAAAAGTTGGGGAAGTGTTTTGTGATAAAAGATATAGTGCATGGTAAATGTGCTCATCTTCCCACTCCCATCCCACCCCGTCTAAAAGTGTTTTTCAGCAATGATGTGGCAACTCTAGTATTTTGTTCATCATTAGCAGAGAGCCAAATCTTTTTAAAGGTTTTGGTATATGATTTTAATGTAATTAATCAAGCTAAAATAAGCGATTTTTTTCCTGGTGCCACAGGGAGGAAGGCAGTGTGTTTATTGCAGATATGTGAATAAATGGATTTATATATTTACATACTCTTTGCTCTGCTGTGGGCACTTGAAGCGACAGCAGTGTGTTCACTTTTAGGTTTATTTTCAGTGTCCAGATTTACTTGTCTCCTTAGCTTTGCCTTTACAACCAAAACACATAATTTAAAGTATTGTTTTTGCCAAAAGAAGCCGAATGAATGACTCTCTCATGGCCACAACCTCTTTAACTCTGAGAACCCCTAATTTGAAGATAAAATATTGGTTCCAAAGCCTATTTTATAAAGTATTTTGGAAAGTGAGGAAGATTATAGTGTAAATTTTTCTCTTGCTTGCTAATATTCTTGCTCCATTTTTCCTTTCTGCTATACTTTACATATATTGAAACATAAGTGGGTCATTCATATGTGTGTGTGTGTATGTATATAGACATATATGCATTATAATAGAACATTATATAATATGTACATTATCTATACTATGATCTTCTATCTTTATTCTTAGCTGCTGCTTTGAATAACCCAAGGTCAGGAAACTCCAATAACCTTGTAAAACTTTGGTGACCCGAGTCCATGTCAGTATGTCCTTGCCATTTCCACTCTCCATCTGTGATTTTTACATAGCTAATGTATTATTGCCACATCAGAGTTAAAGTTTTATTTGTTTTATCTTGGGAGGGAAGGCAAAGGAGTGAGGAAAGGGCTAGTGGTTGTTATTCTGCCAGTTACTATCATTCGATGACTCTTGCTTTTATTCATTTCAAATTGTACATAGATACTTTATAGTGTATTTATACCTAACCTCAGGTTAGTTTTCAATTCTAAACAAATGTAGGAATGCTTCTCTTTGAGGTAATTCAGCATAATTCTGTTGGATAGTATCTGGTTGGAAATGCTGTTTGGAATATTAATAATGTTGCAGAGCTGGTTTATGATTAAACACTAGTTTAAAACCAAATATGTGGTGGTTTGAAGGCAAAGGCAGAGGGGAAGCTTGATTTCAGGAAGGTCATGGAGTGGGTGATGCAGTGGTGGGAAATGCAGCGCGAACCCTCTAATTTTAGTCCTTCTCTGCAGCACCTTTTCATTTTCTGTGCCTAATAGTTTCCTCTGCCCCTCTGTTTTGAGGCATTAACATGCCTTGTAGTAATCAGTCAAAATACCAGTGAGATTGGACACTGGGTATATGGCTCATTGCATTGGTTGGTCGCCTGTTTCCGGTGTGTGAGTTAACGTACCTGTCTAGGTTGAGGTTTAAATACAGTAATAATATTTATGGCTAGAGCAGAAGAGGCTAACTTACTTCACCACCTCCCTGCTCACCTGCTCTTCCTGTTATCTCTGGGTTTGATTCTTTAGTATCACTGTCACCCTGCAGAAGGACTGAAGGGATGCCAACAGAGCTCATTGCCATGCCTGGCAACCGAATATGAATCCTTCCCTAGTGCTTCCGGCTGGTCTGTTTCTCCACCAGCCCCCATTTTTATCCTCCAGGGATGTTCTAGTTACCACCTATGTTTAACTTTGGTGCTGAATCATGAAAGAATTGCACTGTGCAGGTACCCCATTGATATAGGCAAAATCCTTCCGAGTGGTTTTCCTCTTTCCTGTAAACTGCTTCCCTTCTCCTAGTGTCTGGTCTGAAAGGGTTTGCCTGGTGCACATGAATCCTTGTGCATGCCAGTGTTGTCTGTAGATGCAGCTCTCATGGTTTTGTACTGTTGCTTTCCAGATGTATGGAGAGTGACAAACATTCATTGGAAAATGTTACTGAATTCATAGAACTTTTTTGGGTAATTACAATAGAATTTCAACTAACGGAAATTAAAGTGGAAAATCCTATGATGGTAAATATTTGTTAAACATTTTAAATTTTAGAAAGCAATTCTTTCCCTAGCCAGTTTGGCTCAGTGGATAGAGCATTGGCCCGTGGACTGAAGGGTCCCGGGTTTGATCATGGCCAAGGGCATGTACCTCAGTTGCAGGCTCAATCCCCATGTGGGAGGCAACCAATCCATGTGTCTTTCTCACATTGGTGTTTCTCTCTCTCTCTCTCTCTCTCTCTCTCTCTTTCTCTCTCTCTCTCTCTCTTTCTCTGTTTCTCCGCCTCCATTCTCTCAATAAAATCAATGGAAAAATGTGTATGCATGCATATAAGCATAACCAATGGACATAAGACACTGGGGGATAGGGGAGGCTAGGGGACTGTCAAGGCGGCGGGGGGTGGGGGGGGGGGAAGGACACATATGTAATACCCTTTATAATACTTTAAGCAATAAAAAAAAAAACAATGGAAAAATATCCTCAGGAGAGGATGAACCAAAGAAAACCAAAAAACAAACAAAAAAACCCCCAACCAATTTTTATACTATCTGTTGCTGTCAAAATTATGTTTTCAGAATAAAAACCTGATTTTGTTATCCTTGTTTTTTGGGGAATCATGAGAAGATTTTTAAAGTCAGGAATCTATATATATGAAAGCCTAAGCAAACAAGTGACCAGTCGATTGGTAGCTATGATGTGCACTGACCACAAGGGGGCAGACGCTCAATGCAGGAGTTGCCCCCTAGTGGTCAGTGTGCCCCCACAGCCAACCTCCTGCAGTCCCTTCTCAGGGCCGGCTGGCCCCCTGATCAACCCCAATCGCTGGCCATGCCAAGGGACCCCACCCCTGAACGAATTAATGCACCGGGCCTCTAGTCCTTACATAATGCCATAAAGTGTAGCATTCACAACCCTTTATAATCTAGTCTCTGCTCACATATCTAGCTTTATTTTGAAGCCAGTTTATCCATAACTATTTGTGTAGTTGCAAGATAGCATAGAGATTAAGAGAACAGTTTTGTATATTACAGCCCAGTACTAATCTTTTTTTTTTTTTTTTTACAGTTTTCATTTTATTTTTATTGTTTAAAGTATTACATATGTCTCCCTTTTCACCCATCGACCCTTCCCCGGCCACTCCCACCCCCCAGGACAAGCCCCCATCGTCCCAGTGTCCCTGTCCATTGGTTATGCTAATATGCATGCATACAAGTCTTTTGGTTGATCTCTTAATCCCCCTCCCCCCCGGCCTTCCCTCTGAGGTTTGACTTTTCGTTCAGTGTTTCT